AGCTGGAGCGATCTGACATATTTTAACCGTTTATCAAGAGGAAGTGGAGGAACACCTCAGTTTTTATTGTTTGTTCACCAGGCAGCAATTTTTACCTATTAGAGCTAACAAGGGAGAGGTTCTTTACAAACCTGATTTTGGTTCACTTGAACAAGCTACTGAATATGCAACAGTGGTTTGAAAATGCTGATGCTGCAGCATCGGCTGAAAATAAGGGAGCTGTCAACCTGATCTGCCTCAGTAGCTCTATTTGCAGGAAATACTCACCCGTAGTTAAAATAATGATGGTTTAGTCAACCTAAATTTGGAGATCATTCAACATCTTGAACTATAAATCAGTGAATGAACTGAGTGGCACCGCATACAATCTACATGTTGTCTAGTTTATGATTCAGAATTGAGGCTGCAAGATGTGGGCTACAAAAATCTAGACCACTAATTGGAAGCAGGAAGATACAGGAATATCTAACTCTTTGCTGTCATCCAATATTGCCTAGATTTTTGCACTCCAAATCAGGTGATCTTGTTCAGTATGTCATGCAAACAGCCAGAAAAAAATATGATTGATTCAGTCAAAGAGGATTCAGTTAATCATGAATCATCAATATGCATCTTTGGCTTCCATAATTTATATAACTAAATGGTTCTATAAAGGGATGGATGAGAGCCCTTCTATAATAGTTATGACACTTATAATTGATGGGAATTGTAGTGTATTTGAAGAACAATGGGTTGAAGCCAAAAATATACTCTTCCAAATCCTGCATCCCTCCACAAAATTCCATCCCACATATTAACATAGTTACTTGGAGGTGAACAATGTTTTCTGTTTGGTTTGTGAAGCCAAATTTAGCTACTCAGCTATTATATCATGCCAAGTCATTATTTGTTTTAACAAACCATAATCATTTCATTCATATACAACTCTATGGCAAAATTATGGCTTATAATCAAGAACTGCTTGTGTTCACAAATAATGCATGCTAAGACAATCAAATAAACCATGTTAGAGCTCAAAGAATACATAAATTCATAAACTAAAAATTCCAATCCAGTTGAGGTCCAAATTTATGGCCAAGGATCATGCATTCCCTTAGCCATAATGTAGTTTGCACTGCCCATGATATATGAACAAGACTTCTGTGGATTATTAAGCCAAACCTTCTTAACACAAATGACAGCTTCGTGCAATGTCTGAACTCAACGAATGTATGACTTTAGCACTGAGGATACCTTTGTGTCTATGTGCCGGCATAAATAGATTGCCATATGCTACACTTAACTAAAACCTGGTATACTGGAGGATAAAGTGCCTATATACCTGATGCACTCCTTGGCACATTTTTTCATCCTTCTCTTGTGTGCCTTTAAAAATGCCATTACCTGATGCCAAGAACTCTAGCTAATTGCAATTCATGTTATGCTTGTACTTTGCTTTTTTCCTATGACTTTTTTTAATTATAAAATGCCTAGTGGTGCCACATAAGTCTCTTTTTCTTTTCCCCTTCCATTTGTTCCTGTGTATAAAACTTGTTCATGTTCCCATCCTTAATGTACACCTGTTTTCCTTAGGTGCTTTTTTAATTTAGTTACATTTTTTCCCAATCTTTACAGGGACCGGACAAAAGAATGGTCTGGAGTAAGTGGAGCTGGTTAGGTTGACCCCTTAGATCAACTTGTCCCCCAGGATTTATGTAAAGCCAGTCATTGTTGAATGCTATATCTCCTGACAGAGACTTTTTAAGATCAAGAAAGACAAGTCATAGTCAGAAATAGAGGAGCTAGAGGGGCCTAAGAAATGCAGGTGATGGATAGAGATGACCAATTTTATTTCCTCTATCAAACAAGCTAAGGGATCACGCAAACTCTTTAAATCTGTAGCTGGAGAATATACAGGGCTGGATCTGAAAATGAGCCAGAAGGCTGAATTTGTTCTTTGTAGGATTCTTTTAGAAATCTGGAGGAAACGGTTATTTGTTGTACTATATATGTAATCAGCCTTCATTTTTCATTCAGCTGGTAACAGTAAGATAAAGACTCCTCATTGAGTTTGACTCCTGTGACACATTCATGTGTTTTTCTTGGCAACAGAACAGAAGTGGTTTGCTATTGACTTCCTCTGAGAGGTTCAAGGCTGGCAAGGTGTTGCAGCCTGTGTAAATTAACGTAAATTAACTCTGTATCATCATAAAACACAATCTGTCTCCATTTACTTTTTTGTAAGGAAAGTGAGTTGTGTGGGTACACACTGAACCCTTTTGAAATTAACCAGAGTGTAGGAAGTACCACTGTTATACTTGTCCCAGATTTGCCTTTCAGAGATTGGCTTAGTAGCCCATAGTGAATGCCGACTCAGATGCCCTTCAGCCAATGTATAGTTTGAATCAAATGAAGGATGCAGCCCTTAAAATGAAGGCAAGTTTTGCCTGGTTCCTTTCTCAAAATGACGGGGAAAGGTCAAAAGTGTTCCAAGTAGGGAAGATGAAATACTGGCTCACAAAGAGGTTTTTTTTCTTCTGCCCCACACGCTTTCCCTTCAAGAAAGCATGGGGAAGTCCTACTTCAGGGCACTGCAATCATCTTGAAAGCAGTACTTCATGGGTGAGAAGCAAGTAGAGATGGAGGAGGAGGGCTGGTCTGAACTCCCACAGGCTGGGTGGTATAAACTGGTTTAGTTCCCCAGGTGTGGCCAGTGGAGTGGAGGATATCCATTCTTGCTACTAAGGAATAAACAGTTCCACAAAACACTACTGTGTTCAGTGAGAATTACTTAGAGTGGGCATTTTTAGGATTAAATTGTGAGTCAGGAAAAATGCAAGTAACTAAATACAAGAGGAGATCCTGTAAATATTCAGGTACTGAACACAGGTATGGCCACCATATAGAGGTGATAGCAGTTTTAGCCTAACAGCCTCTGAACAACTATAGTTCACCAAGCCTGCAGTTGTACAAACATCACATGTTGTATCATTGTGATCTTACTGCTGACTCCCCAGGCTAGTCTGCATCTTTCTCATATAAGCAGTGCTACTTACATAGCTGGAGGGAAAAATATCCATCCACTCAATATTTTCAGGCTGTCGTTCAATTTCCAAAATTAATTATTCTAGAGGCACACTATATAGTTGTAGTGTTCTAGTTGTACACTATACAGCAGGAAAGAAGAAAAACAAGACTAAACTTAGCAGGGTTTCTCAACATGCTGCCATCCAGATGTGTTGGATTTCAACTCCTGTAAACATCAGCCATTGGGGCCTTGCTTGTCAGCTGCTAGTGATGGGAGGGTGAATAAATTCAGTAAATTCCATCTTAGAAATTCAAGTATCATTCCAACTTCACTGAAATCTCTTTGCTGACTCCTTTGTTCCTATTCTTTTTTCTTTGAAAAAAGATTTTTTCCCCTCCTGATTTGCCACTCACTCTCTATTTTCAACCAATTCGGTTTGATTAATCAAAATCAGTGCTGAAGTAGCTTCTATCTAATCACTTCCACCACCTTTTGAAGCAAAAATTAAAGCTATGCCACGTCTACTGGAACACAACTTCTTTTAGCCTTGCTACAGTTATATAGGAAGCTAATAAATGGACTTGAATTCTCTGCAGGACCTCCTCCACTTCTGCATCCCTACCAATCCTAAAGCTAAGGCCAGATTTCACTATATCAAGCAAGAACAATAAACCAGTGGAATGGCTTGCCTTCAGAAGTTGTGGGTGATTCATCACTGGAGACTTTAAGAAGAACCTGGACAACCATTTGTCTGAAATGTATAGGATCTTCTCTTGAGCAGGGTGTTGGACTAGAAGACTTTTAAGGTCCCTTCCAACTCTGTTATTCTGTTATGCAGATCCATTTAATTTGCAAAGGTTAAAGCTTCTTCCAATGAATTCTGGAATGTCTTGGAGGTAAATTAATATCATGTTCTCTATGACCAGAATTCTTGGATTCAATCTCCTTACAAATGATAACAATACATTGATGTATTGCTCTGGGCTTCCTTAGTAAGTCTTTTCCTTTTGGACTGCAATAGGGTTTCTAATCCTCCAAGTACTCTAAGAAATTTAGAGGTTGGGCTATGCATTAAGAGACAGTATACAATTGTATCTAAATGAAATGCTGTAAAAATCGCTATATTCTCAAGTCAAAGGTCAGTTCCTTGTTAATTCATCTGTGCAGTTTCCTTGTTAATGTTATAGAAGGGTTTGCCATCATTTTCTGGGATATTTGTTAACCCAGTCCAACCAACAGCTCTCAAATTTCAAATTGTCTGCCCTCCAAGTCCTAACCAGGGTGAAATTAATTTAGTTTTTACAACCAGTCAAACTTGGCTAGGTGCTATTAATGGACGAAGCCTAACTCTTATAGTTCATGACTCTTGTCTCTCTGTTTACAAAGGATTTGGGACCATATTGATTAACACAACCCGAGTTCAATGTTACAATATGTATGGATGGCCCTCTTTGTTGATAGAGTCATCCATACAGATATTGTAATGTTCAGCTCAGGTTGTGTGAACTATTATGATCCCAAATACTTTGCTTGATTGTTGCTTTACAGAATCTGTGGGGTGTAAATAAGCAAATATTGCCAGGGTATGGAAGAAGAAGGGGGGGAAAAGCCCTTGCTTTACTGATCTGATCATAGCATACACAAGTCAGTAGAATGTAGTCCTATGTTCTATTCCAGGTGTCCAGCCTTAAGATTTGTGGACTTCAACTTCCAGAATAACTGGCTGAGGAATTCTAGTCTTAAAGTTGGATAAAGGTTGGATACCCCTGTTTTACTCCTTCATCCTAAGGGGTTGCCCCCCCCCAAAAAAAGGTCCATGGTAAAGCTCTTGCTTTATTGACATATTTCAAAACCCTGTCTAACTACCTCAGGGACAGAGTTAAAGAACATTGCTCAGCTGCCTGCGCCTTGGCAAGAGTCCAGGAACAGCCTTGCTCTGTCAGATTCTTGCAGAAAGAGGAGGTCTCTCTCTTTCTCTCCTGCCCCTGTTTGCTAACTCTTCTACCTTTTAAGCAACTGTTTTCCAGAGACAGCCTCTTGGTGACAAAAGTCAGAGGCCACCCCAGCTGAGTGCTGTCTGATGCTTTTCTTACTCCTCGTTGGCCAAGAAGAGAAAACCAAAAATAAATAAATAAATGTGCTTCCAAAGTTTACAGTAAACTCTTCCAGCCTCTCCCTGCACCCCTTTCATTCTTTCAACAGAGAAGAAGCCAAAGGAAGCCTGATCTAAGACGCCTGCAGGTTGTTGGATCAACTTTGTTATCTGTCACCTTTATAAGAACCAGGAACTATTCCAAGTGGGAGAAAGTCTGTGCCATACAATAGTGATATATGTTTCCTTTTTTTTTTTTACTGAGAAAAGAAGAGGTCCGAAAACGCTCACAAAGCAAAGCAAGCAAAGTTTATCTTTTTTGGATTAAGCTGAACACTCGCCCTTCTCTTTGCCATGATCCAGTGCTGTGGGACATGTCTCGGATCATTTCTTGCAATCACAGTGCTGTTTCTATTCAGAGAGGTAAGAAAATAAGTCACTTTCAGACTGATCAGTTTCAAATACGAACATTCCATTGAGTGTACGTTCTAATATTTGCACTTGGTGGGACCTGGTCACAAGTAGTGCTTCTTTAATGGAACGGTATGAAAGTTGGTTGTAGATGGTCACTTGTATATGATTGGATGTGGCTTGCCTGATAATCCCCTGATGTTTTTGCAAATTGGCAGTGGCTTTTCTTGTCAATTGCAATCAGAGTCAGTATGATCCAACTTTTCTATAATAATTCATTTATTTGAGCTGGTCAGCTTCTTAAATGTTATTTATCTGCTCATTTCCCTTTTTCTAGTTACAACAGTACCCATGCAAGTATTTCATATCACTGCTAAAGATAAGTAATTAGGATGCAAATAGGTTATATTTTGGGTTCACTATTACAATCTTTGCAGCAATTCCCTCCCAAAGTTCATCGTAATCCAGCCATTTGTTCAGACTTTCCAAAATATTTGCAGATGAATTCATGATCTTCTTTTTATCCAGTAACTGTCTTTTTTCCCCCTAGAAATATGCTTTTACTGAAAGACTTAATCCACCTCCATGGTTGTTGACTTATTCAGATTTAAGTTTCTGACTTAATTTTTAAATGTCTAAAAATTATCTTAGAATGGATAATTCAGCTTATCTGAAATCCAGATCTATGCCTAGAAAAAAGGATTTCAGTGTGGATGATACAACATCTTCTTCATGTTTAGAAAGCTGTTTAAGATGCTATTATAGAAGTCCTTTCTTGAAACACAATATTAATTCTATCTCGGTTGAAAAGAAGACAATCTATTGAGGATGATTTGATGCAGTTCTCTGAATTTCTGTCCTGACTAGTGAGTATAAGTATGGCAAACAGTGGCTGCCATGCCAACCTAGTTTGATCTGTGGCATCACCCTGATAGCAAGAACCAAGATGTCCTTATGCAACAATACATTATTGTTGGCATTGCTATACTGTCACCAAGTAGTAATAGCCTTGTTTTATTATAGGCTTTGCTGTTCTCTTGTAATATTATGCCAGTCAACTCTTTCTTTGTTCCTATGTGTATCCTTTGTGATACACAGGGCACAGATCATGTTATGCAGTAAAGTGGCTTAATAGCACACCTCATGGGATGAAGGCCTATACTTTGAAGAGCTCAACTCAATTTGATACCATTAAAGCTTGAGCTGATTTTTGAGACTGATGCTCCTATTGCCACATTTTTGCAATATGTGCCAAACAACAGATGATTATTTAGCTTATTTGAATGAATCAAGACATCAAGAAAAAGACTGAGAAATGGGGTTCTTTATGCATTTTGAACAAAAAGATTTTAAAAATCCCAGTTTTGTCAGGTTATCATCTTTGTCGACTACTGTTGCTAAGCCATATTTTCTATTCAGAAAAGAATTCATTTTGTATTCAGCGCTATTGTGTAGGCATTATGCTTAAAACTGGGATTGAGCTGTAGGAAAAATCTAGATTCTCCCATCCTGCATATATTTCTTCATCTAGCTTCAAAGAACTAATATTTCCTTTTTTATTTTAGTAAGAGCTGAATACCAAGATTCAGATGCAGAAGGAAATTATCAATAGTATTAGGATATTTATCTTTTTATGTTCTGATTAATAGAAAATTCTTTTTAAAACAAACTTTTATCCCAAGACCATAACTCTTTCAAATCAGCAGGATACTTATTTATTTATAGAGCAATCCATGTATACAGATTTCTGAGTAAGATCAATCGATACAAAACTAAATGAACAATAATTGAAAGCAAATTATGGTTAACCTCACTAAACCATTTTATGGTATAGAATTCCAAAAGACTGAATTGTCAGATTTAACTTGAGGTCCAAACATCAGTAGGGATGTTCAAATAATATAAAATTCCATTTGAATTATTGATTCAATCCATCGGTCCAATTCAATGTGCCAATTCAAATTGATTCGGAAAAACAATTTGAGTCAAACCCTGAATTCACTTTGTCAGAATGAATTGATTTGCTGCAAATTTTCAGAAGCTTAATTTATGGGCAGAAACAACCAAAATATTCAAAAGTGATTCAGACGCATCTGATTTTATTTGACTTCTGACTCAGTTTAGAAAGTTGATTTGAATTGCCTTCAGATTGAATTTCCAAATTAAATATTTCTACGAACCTAAACATCAATGCCTAACAATGAAAAATAGGACTCTGCAATCAAAAAATTATTGTAGTTCCGTATAACACATTGTTTTCAACAAGTGGGATATTGAAGTTCCTCCCTCCCTCCATTCCATGCTGCTTTTCATTAGTGTATTCTCTTTTCATTTTCCCTGTGAGATTGGAATTAGGATAGCCTTCCTCAACCATTCTTCACCTCTGCATCTCCAGATATGTGGACTAAAGCTTCCAGAATATTTAGCAATCAGTATGTAGGCTAGGAATTCTGGGATTATAAACCCCCATCTCCAAAGGATGCCCTGGCCAAGGAAGATTGGAATAAAAACATTTTGGGAGACTACTGAAGTCCTTATAAACTTATAATGTTTCAATGTGCTTTTTCAGACTAATATTTATCTAATATTGTGTGTGCTTTGAAAATGATTTGGAAAAAGCACAAGGAATACCTAGCATCTTTCTGCTCTTTGTGAAAACAATCTGACTTTTTAAACCTAAGGCAATTCTTTTTTTTTATTAAAAAGTTTTTATTTTCCATTTATTCATACAAAATACAATTCAATTAAAATAAATTCCTAACCATTGGTACCGCCTGCCCATTCCCCCCAGGCTGCGTCCACCCTCTCTAATCCTTTCCTACTTCCCTCCTCTTTCTCTCCTCCCCTCCTACTCTCTTCCCCTCCCCTTCTCCTCTAAACATCCTACTTCCTCCCTACTCCTTCCTCCCCTCTCATCCCTCTCACACACATGAACGCAGCATAGGGGAAATGCCCAAGCATTTACCATGACTATATTATCATTACCCATCCACTCACCCACCCACCCACCTCAACCCTCCCCCCCTCGCTTCCCAGAGCAGAGTACAGGGTTATTAATAAGAAAGTTAACAATAATAAAAAAAGAAAAGAAGAAAGAAAAAAGAAAAAAAAAGAAAAAAAATCATACTTAACCTTTAACTCCCCTTAAATTAAGTCATATAAACAAATCTCTACAACAGTTACTATAAAATTTACTCATAAAATAAATGAAACTTTATAGTCCCATATTTTTTCTGAATATAATCTATCCATCTTCTCCATGCAACCTAAGGCAATTCTTAAAACAGCACCAACACCAGCAGCCTTTTTTCAGGCGCATGTAAACACCTAGAAAAAGTTGGGCTACTTTAATGAGTAACACAACAGCTCAGTAATTTAGTCATCTCAATCGGCCTTATTATAGCTTCTTGGTTACCCTCAAGAAAAATGCCCCATCAAATACATTGCAATGTTCTAGATAAGAATTAATTGACTTTTCAAGAACAGTTGGAACAAGCAAAAGACCAGCTCAAGCTGTTTGAACAATTTTGAGCTACTGAAATTCTAGTGATAAAAATGAAGAAAGGAATATTCTCAGCCTTGCTGCTGCTCTCTTTCAGAAAGACAGTATTACTGTCATTAATTGAATGATTTTATTTTTATTCTACTTTATTTCTAGGCGCTCAATGGGGATCTCTATTTTATCTCCACAAAAACAATCTGGTTATACAGCCTGAATCCAAAGTCATTGACTATGTTTTCATGATTAAATGCGGACATAAATCTGGATTTCCCCAACTCTAGACCAATGTCTTAACCTCTGCATCATAGCAGCTCTTTAGTTCTTAGGAATCTAGTGGGCATGCTATTTCATTGGGATTTAGTTTTAATTTATTGACTCCCATCCAGACCAGGATCAATATCTGCACAAGCTCATCTAATTCTTACATGCTTTGGGTCAGACTCTAGTCTGAATGGGATGTTAGCGATGAAGTTCAAAGAGCAGATCTCAGACTAGGTTCACTCCATTGGAAGTATTTGCTCTATCTTTTATATTTCAGGCTGAGAAGAAAAAGACTGGAAAACAGTAATCTATATTTAACTGGGAATTAAATGGTGGGAATTTGTCATCCAACAGCACTAGTCCAATTATAGCCATTGCAAGTGGGATAAGACTATGTTTAATTGTATCTTAGCAATACTCTTTATTTTGACACATTGGAATGTAATAAATTCTAGCTGTTTTCCCTTTCCACATCCACTAAGAATTCTAGTTAAATGGGTATTAAAGGAATCAGGCGTGTCCACAATGTGAGTGGGTCAAAACTACAATATTGCGAGAATGGTGTTGCAACTGAAGATCCAATCCTCCCCCTTTTTTGTACATGCCTCCTTTAAAGAGCCGTGAAAACAGAAAAATATGATGGCACAAATAGATGATGACATGGTTGGTTTGAATATGAAGCTGAGCATATTACATGTCTAAAAAAACACACTTGGGTGATTCAGCATAATATAGTGCAATTATGGCTAGGTCTGTATGTTGGGTGAACCTAGCCTAAGAGAGGCACATGGAGGCAGGATAGAACAGCTACTGATAAGCAGGACTTTTCAATCTGCATCGCTTGGATTATTAAGGTAGACTTGTATATATTTGCAAAAGTTTGCACACTGTGTCTTCCCCTTTTCAGTGGAGCAGTAGGCTCCCAGCAGTTACTTGTGGCCCTGTGAAAGGATTCATGTAAGATTCATAGTTAGCTCACAACCTTGAGTTGGTAAAGCTTACTGAGTGTAGGCTGTTGGATGGGGGAAAAGTCTTTGTATGAAGCTCAAAGTTGGGGGAACTTGAAAAGAGAGGAGGGGTGGCTGTATAATTATTTTGTCTAATTGTCTTACTTAATTGCCTCCATTAATCTGAGGAAAGTTGAAAAGTTGACTTTTCTTGATATTTTTGTTTGCCATCCCATTTCTGTGTTTGTCTAACACAGAAACAATCTTAAGTCAAACATGGCATATTGTTCCAGAATGCAATT